GAGACGGCTCGACATGGGCACCATCACCAGCGGCAAAAGCGGCCACGACGGGAGCATGTCTTTTGGCTTCCGCCGCAACTGAGAAGGAGCCGAACTGCAGCTGCCACATTCCAAGCGTGGGCCTGCTTCTCTGAGCACCTCAGAGCAATTCAGCTGCAACCGAAATGCCAGCAATGCTGGATTTAAGATTCGCCATGCCATTGTCATGAGACTCAAAACAGCACAACAGCTACCAAGGCAAACACTCGCCCTTCAGAGGCTCCACGCCACGTGGCAAACACACCTTGCTGTGGTTGGCGCTCTTGCTCTCCACACAAGACTGTTGAAAGGCGTTGCTTTTGTATCTTCAAGCTGTTCCTTCAACTTACTCCCGAAAGCTCTTGTCTACTTTTGGGCCTTCCCCACCCCAATACTGTGCCCTTCCAGTGAGGCTCTATGGCTGTTCTTGGGAGGTGTGGCGCCATTCCATACCCCGCCCACATTGTTCAGGAGTATGGCCTTCACATAATGTCAAGTATCTCCTAGAACTTCTCCCTGGGCACATCGATTCGTTGGTCATTTTAAGGTCCTGTTCTTGACTGGCGATTTTCTCCATGCCTGTCCTCTATGTAGCGTAGCCGATGTGAATTATAGTACTGTGCAGTACACCTTCCCATTCTGAAAGCATGGGGTGTGGCCCAGTGTGTTTGCCGAACAAGCGAAACCAAAACATTCAAATTGTAATCAATAAAAAACTGCCAAACAAATCCAAACAAAACAAATTTGGATGGAGTTGATCTGAGTATTCAGCGCTCAAAGCACGCCCAGGACACAGTCGTCGGTTTGTTGTTCATGAGTCGAGCCCTTTTTCAGTGTCGAGCCTCCAGTAGGTGCAACTGCGCACGGCATGACCATCCTTGGATGCCAAAGTTGCCAATATAGGGTTGTCACAACGCAAAATGTGTTGCTCGAGCTATCTGAGTGCAGGGCAAAAGATTAAAGCGAAACAAATCATCAAACCAGCTGAGCCGAACCGAAGTTGCGGACATCGACAATCCGTGAAGAAACTCCAAACGGTTCTGGGATGTTCAACAAACATGGCAAACCTAGGTGCAAAGCGCTGCCTGCTACCACAAAAACAGGCGGCAATTCGTCCAGGTTGTAAAATCATGTAAAATCTGTGTTTGTCAAGTTGCGCATGTTGGTTGATTGAAAGCTGCGGTTTCCACGGGAAGGTCCTCTTCACAAATCCACGCAGTCTCATCTTGGTCACAGGCAAAATGCGAAATATGTTCCCAAACTGCTGATGTTGGATACTTGTTTGGTCTGAGGGCCAGGCGGGAACACAAAAAAACTTGAGACAGGAAACACGAAAGGTAGAGAGGTACCAGGAATATATGAGAGGTGTAGGAAGTTTGGTGTGTGAAACAGGGCCTTTTGTCACAGGGGCTGCTACAACATGTAATGTGGTGTGGCGCACGTGGAGGCTTGTCAACATTGTCAACGTTGGTGTATGTGAGAGCCGTGGTGTGTAAGAAGTGCCTGGTGCCAGACAGATGTAATTAAAGGATTTCGAGCCTGAGGTCGGCATCGCGAGGCGGACACAGCAGTCCACGCAAGGCGGACACACTTAAAAGCATTGAGAACCCCAACGGACACCTGCGTGACTCTTGAGGACTTTAGTATAATTGTCCGAGCAGCCCTGAGAGGGGAGACAACCAAAGGAAACAGAAGGGAGACAACACGGAGAGAACCCCTAACAGTAAGCGGAAAGGGGCGGACTCCAGCAGTGCAGGCACCGAACCTGGGAGACAAAAGTAAAGAAATCACCTGGGAGACAAAAGGAAAGAAATAACATGGAAAACAAATGAATAGAAATGCAGCATGGCCAGCGCTAAAGGACGGACACCAGCAGTGACACAAAGGGCGGACACATCTTAAGAAAGAATTGAGAACCCCTAACAGTAAACTGTTTGGGAGAAAAGGAGTCAAAACAGGCTGGCTGTTGGTCAAAAAGAAAAGGAAGGGCGGCGGATCAAAAAAGAATTGCGGTGGATCAAAAAATAAAGACGGTAGGTGAAACACGAAGGGCTGTCGGTCAGAAAAGAATGGTTGTGTGGGTCGAAAAGAAAAGATCGGGGATCTAAACACACCGTGGGGCAGAAGCAACCAGATCAAGCGTCGGCTCCGCCGAAGTAGGGCCATGGCGCCAATTAACACAAAGGGTGCCATTTAGGCAAGGCTCAAACGCATCCAAGAAGCGAGTGGTTGAAGTCCCGGAAGCAGAGCCAAACACACAACACAACAACAAAAGCCAACCATGACAACTGGCGAAGCCCGAGCCGGCTTGGAAACTTTACTGCATTTTAGAAGGCCCTGACCATCAAGGTGGTCGGCCCCAGAGGATGGGGCATGCACAATCAATTCTTTTGCCACTTTGTCAGATCGCTTGTTCATTTTGGTTTCCCTTTTTTGCCATCTCTTTGGCGCCTATATTTCCAAGACCCATCACTCTCTCCGTACTCTGGCCACCCAGATCAGAGCCCGCTGCTGGCGCGAAGGAGCCGGAGTGGTAGCAGCTAGCTGACCAGTTGTGTCCAAGGTGTCAGAAGAGAAATGGCGTATCTCAGGACCCCTGTGTGCAATGGTTCTTTGTCCTAAACACTTCGCTTTTATATATATCTTTGATAGGTTCAATGTCAGTTGCAATCTTCCCGTCTTTGCAAGAAGCACTTTGTGTCGTGCTCATCTTTTTTGTGGTGCAGCTGCTTCCAGGAAGTGGTGCCCAAGAAGGAGAATAAAATGCAGAGGCTTGAATCTCCGCCTGAGGCTTTGGGTGGGCGGGCCGCAGTCTGGAGGTTGTGTCCGCTGAAGTTTTCTCGTTTAAACATTTCTGTCACGTGTTGAGAGCATAGAAAACACATGAACCAAAAACAGCACCAACAATTGGTCGTTTGATTTTTTCCCTGAACTATACATTCTAAAAGAATTTGAAGAAAGAATTGTAGATGATAGTTGTTTGACAAGTATATTTTCCTGTCTAGTCGCTTGTGTAATATTATCTTTTCTGTTGGTCCACCATCGCCTACAGTGTTCGGTTGCACCGGTGTAAAGCGGAGGTTCCCCTGGAAAATCATCAAATTGTGGTCTTATAAAACCCTGAGCATTCATTGGATCTAGAATCCTGAACTTCCTTGTAATTGCCATAGCTTTTCCTGTGTTGAGGTTGACCTTAAAACCACTATATATATTTTTTAGGTGGGACCTTGTATTTCTAATATATATATAATTATATATGTACAACAAGGGGTCTACCTACAAGAAAAAATATTATGCACAACAAATGGGGATATGTTGGTAGTGTTTTAGGTACTGCAATTGCTGAATCACGGCAATCGACTCAATCCGCACGGCAGCTCTTTAGTCGCCGGGATTGCTCACTGGGCTTACAGGGGGAGATTTAAAGTCAAAGTTCCTGACGTTCAAGTCGGTACTTTGTCATTAAATCACAAGTACATACTTTTTTTTGTTTTGTGTCTAGGTCTCTACTGACTCTATGTACATTCGGCGTGGCCATGGTGCCTCAGATCACACCTCTTTGTAGGAAAGTGGAACCTGAATCTTGGCGGTGACGAAATGTGGTTAAATAAGTCAAAGCAAAAGCACTGAGCTGCCAGGCCAAAAGAACCCCGTTCTTCTCCTTCTTCTCGTAGAACCACCGTCCAAACTTATGTTCCTGTGCATAAACACTATATACAACTTTGCTGTTTCTTGTCGATTGGCGGCATATCTCAAGCTGCCACATCAAACACTGCTACATTTGCCTTCCCAATTGCACAGGCAACAAATCTCTTGCCCACTGCAATTTGGTTGATGCAACCAGGCGCGAGAATGGGCCTCAGCGTCGCTCTGGAATTGGCCTTTAAGATCTTTTATGGGCATACAGAACTTGGATCAAAATCTCTTGCAAAAAACTGTGTAGTCTTAAGTTGCAGCACTGTCGCCTCACGTTTTTCAGTTTCGGAAGAAAGTCCGCTCTGATCGTCTCTTGGAATCCAGCTCCGCAGCCGCTTGCATCTGCAAGCCCTTCTGCTCGCCCTGCCACAGAATTCTTGCTCAAAGCTTGGGAGCTGGTGCTTGCCAGCCGCTCAAATGGCCAGATGGTGCTTCAAACCCAGCATGGAACACAATGACAAGAATTGCCAAAAGCAAACAAACAACGATCTAAAGATCTAAATAAGCAAAAAGAAAAATAAGAAACATTAAGAAACTATTGTCTTCCAATTTTCTTGCAGATTCATGTCAAAGTCCGATCTTTGAACGCCAAAGCCCTGCGGTGCGCCACTGCGCCTCATCCCTGCCAAAGCGCCAGGCACGGAGCCTTAAAGCGTCAAAGCATCTACAGTGGCATGTTAAGGACTCAACGGTGCTCATGACTATGCAATGCATATGCCAAATGTTGCTGGTAAGGGGCCGATGACATGACCTGGACCATCCTGACTAATTCTTGAAGCCGGTAGCATCAGTAGCATGGGATAGTCTGTATGCGACGTAAGGCCCTTTCAATTTCGAACCCAATGGCACCGATGGCTTGACTACTTGTGAGCGCAAGACTTGAGCCCGGAAAAGTCCAAAACGTCCTTAAATGCCATATCAGGTGCTTTTCTTGCAGGCCCTGATTTCCCCTCGATTGCCCTCTATTGCTTGCCATGTTGCTTTCAGTTTTCGTTTGAGGTTTCTGGTTCTGGGCCTTGTCCTCTTACTTCTGTATGGCACCGCAAGTAATCATCCAGGATGCGTTTCCTTTATTTGTTGTTTGCACCGTTCAGATATCAGTATCACTTAGGTCAGACTATTGAGCTATCGTTGAAACCCTCCAGAGTTTCCCCAGTGGCGTTGTCGGTCTTAACCTACACTCAGTATGTACTAGTATGCAAGACAGTATGACATAAGAAGTGATTCATCTCGGCCTTATAGACATGTCTACTTGTCTTGCGAGCTCCAGTCTCACCTTGCCTGGCCTAGTGGCGCAGGTCAATGTGAGGAAACTGATGTCCTTCAAGTACAATCAAGCCAGGGGCTTGGCCAAAGTAACTTAAACTTGAAAAGAAGGACAGGTGCGGGATTGCGAGCATCAAGCCAGGAAACGTTCCGTCCACTGAACCGGAGAAAAAGACATTGGATTGCTTGATCGCCTCGATTGAGATTGAAGTTCAGCTGTTGGATTGTTGGGTCTTCGAGGTTCTGGCAGCAAGGGAAGCCACCCACTTCCCTTCTCCTGCAATGGAGGAATCGCAATAGAGTGTTTCCCCTTCTGGTCTGATTTCAACATTTGCCAGCCTAATGAGCTTGTGGCCAGGGGCTTCTTAGAAGCACTCGACCAAAGCATAACTTGGCCATCCTGATGTCCACCATCCGAACGCATGATTGTTCCCCAACATGTCCACAAGGGCAAGTGCAGCACACCCCGTTTGGAATCATGCAGGCGTGCGCTGAATGCCGAACGCGATATCAACCAGCACTCAGCAAGTTTCGTGTTGAGCGGTGGTCATGGTTTATTGGTCATTCAAAAAATGTTTGACAGTGTTGAGCAAGGGCAGCTGGGAGCTGTGGAAGAGGGCAAGAGGTTGGACAAGGAGGCAAAGTTCCAAAAAGAAAAGTAAAGAGCCGAAAAAAACCATTGCGCAGCACATCGCCCCAGACCTCAACGAGCCTTACGCAACCTACATGGCCTTCCCATCGCACGTCTTGGCTATCATAGACATGTTGATGCGCTGGAATTCCATAACCTTTCTCAGTAACTACCTGTTGAATGCTACCCAGTCAACTGATACAGCTTGCTGATGCAACAAGTTACACTTGCATCTTCTGCATCACCAACTGACCAAGAATTGCCTGCACCAGAAAGTAAAAGCACCACCAAGTTTCCGCGCTAGTTCACTTCATTCGCAAAAACTAACTTCAGCCTAGCCTGTCAATGGTGGAGATTTCAATCATGAGTGCGAAAGTGTGAACCTAACTGCCATGAGGAAGGTGAACGAGCAATCATCATTATTTTTGTGGCAAGCTGTCAAGGGCTCAGGATTGCTTAGCTTAGCTAGGATCCACCTTTGCCCCAGACACGTCTGTGTCGTCCTTTCGGGCCTGCGGTTGTTAGCGCCATACCCGCGAGCCCAAGCTGGCACCGGCAGCTGCGAGCTAAACGCTCACGCGCTCGGCGGTTCATCGCCAAGCACAAGGACCGTCCTACCCTGCCAGTCCGTGTGCGTGAACGGTTCCGGTTCCTGAGGAACTTTTTGCAACGGCATCACTCACGACCCTTGTACAAGGTTGCCTCGGATCTTGCACCTGCCTCGAGATCAGTGAGAATGACATGGAAGAACAAGCCATGGAACCCACGCGCTCAAGAATGGAAGCAAGCGTGGGAGAAAGAAGACAAAGAGAAAGTTGCCAAGAAAGGCAAGGAGACAGAGAAAGAGAAGTCAGTGGCGTACGCACACGATGGAAGGAAGCTTGCCCTTCCTATGCAAGGCGCCAGTGGCAATGGCTCTTCCTCGGCATCCTCTACCTCTCAGGAGGAGTTGAAGCAGCTTCGAGAAGCAGTCAAGTTCTTTGCTGGACAGAAGGAAGGAGAGAGCAAGGAAGTTCCAGATTCATACAAGAAGTTTGTAGTGGAGAATCCACGCGATGTACTTCGAGAACAGCAGAAAGAGCTCAACCGCCAAAAGAAGTCTCTTACCCGCATCGAGAAGCTCCAGGCTTCCATTGCCGACAAAGAAGAGAGCTATGCAGCTTGGAAGAATGGGTATCTCGAGATGATCCAGCAAGAAGACAAACGCCACGCAGAAGAGATGAAACAGCTCCACTCCGAGTTGAAGGAGGTCGAAAAGGGTGGCGATGTGATGGAGGATGCGGAGCCTCCAACCGAGTCAGCTATGAGGCAGGAGCTGGACCAGATGAAAGAACAGTTCGCACAGATGAACTATTACTTCCATGCTATGGAGCAGAAGAACCAAAGTTTGGTGGGGCAAATGCAAGCTTTGGTGCAGACACTCCGGGAGAACCAACAGAGCGACCCTGGGGCTCTCTCACCTCAGCATGTTGTCCCACCGAAGCTTGCACATCTACCAGAGTTGAGTGCTGGCGGGATGGAGTTGTGGGGTACACCAGGTGTGAAGAGAGATCGTTCCCGGTCACCATGCAAGGCTCACCCCAAGCAGGCAGACAAGGAGGCCCTGGAGGCTGTGACGCAAGCGACTCTTGCACAGATGTTGCATCATGTGCCAACAGAACATCATGCTACCATCCTTGCTATGATCCAGGCAGAGCCGCAGAATTACCAGACTACCGAACAGGTAGAGATTTTGGGACAGCAAGTGATGGCACAGATCGATGGGCCAGTCGATTTGGGAGCGACCAAGCCCCCTGGTCCTGGCTGTACGCGAGGGCCTTTGCAACCCTTCGGATCGGCAAGAGTATCTCCCTACACGACCCCGAAGAGGTTGCGTGCGGTGAGTGCTTCAGTCAGCTCCGAACGAAGGCGTTCCTCTATGCACGCTATGTCGTAGAGGTGTTCTCCTCTTCTGCAGATGGCAGTAAGGGGGAGTATGATCGTGAAGCTATGCAGAGCTCTTTTACCTGGTGTGACTCGTGCGCCACTTTTCAAGGTTGCAGATGCATTAGGTATAGTTTCTTTTGTGCTTCAGAGTGTGTGCTTTCTTGCCACACTCCTTTTTGCTTTGACATTCCACCTTCTTGGGGTTTTGAGGGTGGTTGCTGCCACGTACCTACCCCTGGCTTTCAAAAGTCTCGTAGAAGTCAGGGTTTTTTGCCTTTACAGTGTGGCGCCCAATTTCAAGGCAGCCGCACTCCTATATCGTATTCCAGCCTGAAGAATGAAGCTGCATTTGAACCACAGACAAATTCTTCGAGCTGCATCTGTGGCATTCGTGATGATTGCTGCAATTATGATGGTGAAGATGGACACTTTGAAGATCTGGGTAGCGACTATTTGAGCAAGCATTCCTTTGCGTTATGTTTGCAATTGTATGCCCTACTCATGGCTTTCGCATGTGTTTACAGCATCCAGTCATTAGGTGATGTGCTAGGTACCTTCAATGCCATTTGGAGGGGACAACGCCTTCACCGATTGCCAAGGCAAGGTGTCCTTCGGGATGCTATTCTTGGTTTCCTTTTCTCGAGTGCTCTTGAAGGTGTTTTGCTGGAATGTGCGAGTTTTGAGCCTAATCATGATAGCTTTGATGGAGCGAAGGTTCTTGTTTTCCTATTCCGCAGCCAAATGGTCTTGATACTTTGGCTTGCTGTGACTCTTTGCTTCCGGAAAAGATGCGATGAAACAATGCCTTTCCCTGGCAGAAGCAGATTTGCGCAAGGGAGACGTTTGCCATACCATAGGCATCGTGTTGCTAAGGTTGTTCATGAAATTGTGATTGACGCCGCAAATAGTGGACATGTCAATCCCGTGGCTGCTTCTTGGTCTTATGGGCTGACTACATGCCAACAACAGAGAATACAGGTTGAAAAGGATCGACAAAGAAGTCATGCGTGTCAGAGATCTGGTTCCGACCCTAGCATCAATACGCCGGTCAAGATTTCTCTTTGGGACCATCTCCAACCAAATCCTAGAATTGAGCAAGCGCAGAGCTCACCAGCAACAATGCAACCGAGTGTTGAATTACCGAATTTAACACCCCTACTACACGACTTGCTCCAAAAGCAGATGATCGTCCATCATGACTGGAAACAAAACCGAAGCCTCCTTGGCCCAACTCTTCATGATGAATTCGATTCGCTGCGGATAGGACGACCAGACAAATTTCAGGAAGTGATAATCTACACTGATGGTTCCAACACCAATGACGCCGAGAAATCAGCTGCATGGGCCCTTGTTGTTTTCTTTTATGATGAGGGCCAGCTCTATCTTGGCGATGTCGACTACGGTCTGGTGGAGATTGACCCAATGTCTGAAGGCTGGACGGGTGCTACTCACGCTGATGCACGTAGTGCTGAAGCAGATGCACTCATTAAGGCTTTGGAATGGTGTCTTTGCCATGGACTTGAGGTGCCACATGCCCTGAGATATGACTCAACCTCTGTCGGACAACCAGCTGCAGGCCAAGCCAGAATAGCTGAGTCTGACAAGCAACTGCGCATTCTCCGAGCGCTTGCACGGTCCTGGGATGCATACTTGGGTAAAGAACATGCGTGTGTATGGGAACATGTCCGTGGCCATACAGGATGCCTTGGGAATGAATTGGCTGACAGCCTTGCAAAACATGCATATCATCACCAAGTTGTTCTGCGACCTGGACACCGTCCGGACTATGTTGCATATGTTTTCGGGAAGCGATATCCAATTGAAATGCTATGGCTTTTCTTTGAGCAGACAGGGCGAGAGTCCCTCTTCCCTGATTTTGAAGGATGCAAGATGAATCTGCCTGCTTTGAGGAATGAGCCTGACATCAAGAAGAAATTGCCTGCTGTTCTCATGCATGAGCCCCAAGTACGACAAACCGAGCAGTCATACCGACTCTTTGCTGCTACTTTCAATGTTGCGACCTTGGGCCAGAGACAAGGCACATTCTTTGTACAATATCTGAAAGAACAGATGAGTGCACACGGGCTTGACATTCTCCTTTTGCAGGAGAGCCGGACTCGTTCGAATCAAATGATCTGTTCAAGCACACATATACGGATTGGCTGTGCTGCCAGCAAAGGTAAAGGTGGTGTTGAGATCTGGATTTCGCGACGTGACCCAAGGACACAAAAGCCTGTTGCAGACAAGCAACATGTGCGGGTTACACACGCTGACTCTGAACTTCTCCTTGTTTGTGCTAAAATCAAAGGCGGGGTTGATTTGCTCCTGATCAGCGGTCACGCACCGCATAGTGGGCACCCTGCCGATAAGATTTCTGCTTTCTGGCGACAGCTCGCCCAACTCGTCAAGCCACATTTTGACCGGCATCTCCCAATCATATGCGGAATTGATGCGAATGCTCATTTTGCGGAGGCTGCTGAGCCGTACATAGGTGATGTTGGTTTAGAGAAAAAGACCGACCATGGTGCAGTTTGTTTCCTTGAATTTCTGCGCCGGTTTTCTCTCTTTCTGCCTAGTACTTTTGACAGGCATCATGATGGCAGACATGCCACATGGCACAGCCACGCTACCGGTGCTGGGGCCCGATGTGACTATTTTGCCATTCCCCTTGCTTGGGGACAAGCCTTCGTCAGGACCCAGGTCCTACACACGCTTGATACCAGCATGGCCGGAGCTGATCATTCGCCTTTGGCACTTGATTGTAAGATTGTCCTGAAGATTGACAAAGCACTAGGCTTCTCGCATCGTTTTGATCGAGATGCTTTACTCAATGCCAAACCTGAACAGCTGGACAAAGTCTTTCGGGATATCCAAGTTCCCAATTGGCAAGAAGACCCTGATGTGCATGCTATGCAGCTGTCTACACAGGTGCAAAAGAACCTCCAGGAAGTTTTTCCGGTTCGCCAGTCCAAACCTAGAGCGAGTTACATTTCCTCTGAGACTTGGAACATTCGGTGTGCCAGGTTGAAATTGAGAGATAAGATTCGCAATCTGAAAGATCAATTAGGAAGATTCACCATCCATGCTGCTTGGCAAGCATGGCGATCAAATTGCATTTTGTCCTTCAATGTCGGACAAGCTTTTGCCTCCTTGCGCGAGATTGTGTCCATCCAGAGGACCATTGCTGACACGACCAAACAGCTCACCAAAGGCCTTAAAGCAGATAGGGTCACTGCCCTTGAAGTGTTGGCGAATGAATCCCAGCGCATGACTCCACGTGACTTCATGCGAGCCCTGCGATCAGTTGGGGTTGGGGGACGCAAGAAAGTCTCTGCAATCCAACCCTTGCCGCTGCTGCGAGACATTGATGGCCATGTTTTTGAAACCGAAGCAGAACATAAGCAGTGCTGGCGTGAATATTTTGCAGCCCAAGAAGATGGTAAGACGACCACCTTCGCCCAGCTGTTTGAAGAAGCTGCGCAATCCAGGACGGCAGCGTGTAATATCTCCTGGGAGAATTTGCCGACTGCCTACCAAGTTGAGCAGAAATTTCGTAGTACAGCTCGAGGCAGGGCATACTATGTCGATGGAATACCGGGAGAGTTGCTTGCACTGGCCCCGAAGCAAATGACTGATTTATACTACACTCTCATGTGTAAGCAAGTCGCCTACCTCCATGAACCGCTTGTCTTTAGAGGTGGATACCTAGCACCAGTTTACAAGAAAGGAGATGCGAGTCGACCCGAAAATTATCGATCTCTTTTCGTTAGCTCGGTCATAGGTAAGACAGTACACTCCATCTATAGGAATGATTTGATGGATGTCTTTGAGAATACCCGCCTTCCCTTCCAGATAGGAGGGCTTAAGGGGCAAAGCATTCTTCAAGCCGCACATGGCTTGCAATCATTCCATCGAGGAGCTGTCAAAGCCAACAAAGCGGTTGGACTATTGTTCATTGATGTCACGAACGCCTTTTACAGGCTTGTCCGCCAGCATTTAGTAGCGCCGCAAGCTGATAGGCGGGGGGCTGCTGAGCTTTTTAAGACTCTTGGCCTTCCACCGGCCACCTTTCATGAGTTCCAGAGCTTGCTGGCACAAGATGCGGCGCTCGATGCAGCGCAGACACCGCTCTTTTTGAAAGAGCTATTCAAAGAGTTCTACGCCCACACATGGTTTCAGGTCAAAAGTGACCACACTGTTGTCGAGTCAAGGAGGGGTAGCCGTCCCGGAGATAGCTTCGCAGACCTTTGCTTCTCCTTCACCTTGACACAGCTGCTGAAGCCTATCCTTGAGACTGCCAGAGAGAAATATCCCCAGATCGAGATTAGCTGGGACGGGAATGCATGTCCCTATCGCACTACACAGGACCATTGTCCGCTTGGGCCGCTTGTACCGATTTGGGCAGATGACATTGCCTTTGCCTTCACAGCTGCCACGCCAGATGAGCTGCTGCCTCTTATCCAAGATGTCAGTGGAGAGCTTTTTGACGGGCTTCTTCGTGCAGGCCTCAAGCCCAACTTTTGTCCTGGCAAGACTGAGTTGCTTTTGGACCTCCGCGGACCTAATAGTTTGAAGCTAAGGCGTGAAATGTGCCACAAGGATCACACATTGCTGGTACCGTCGAGATTCGAGGACTACCAGCTACGGCTCGTTGGTTCCTATAAACACTTAGGAACCTGGATTCAGATAGGAGCAGGCGTTGCCCTTGATGCACGGACTAAGTTCGCTGCTGCACACGAACTGTTGACCAAGTATAAAGGGCCAGTTTTCTCCAACCGAGCGCTTCCACTCCAAAAGAAAAGACAACTTTTCGAAACAATGATACTGAGTACCATCACTTTTAATGCTGCAGCCTGGATGCCTAGGAATCGCAGACAGACTCAACAGCTGCATGTCTCCTTCATGAAGTTGTACAAAAGAGTCTGCCTTCTCCATTTCGGGTCTATAGCATTGACATGGAGTGATGATAAGGTTTTGAACGCCTTCAGATTGCCTGCGCCTGAAATCACCTTGAGGCAAGCACGGTTACGATATGTTCTGCAACTGTGCAAAGGAGGGCAACCTCACATCTGGGGCCTCCTGCAGGCTGATGATGACTGGTATACCAGGTTCTGTACAGACATTGCCTGGTTGGTTTCCCATTGTCCTGAAGTTGATCTTGACCCTTCTACACTATGTTGGGAATCTTTTGCTGCACATGTCCAGTCATCACCCGCACGATGGAAGAGACTCATCAAAGCTGCAGTTAACAGGCATATTTCCACCCGTGAGATTGACCTCCAGTGGCTAACATGGCAGTCAGAAATTATGCATGAAGTCATTGGGGCAGGTTTTGCTCTGCCCAATGTTGTTAACTCATGTCGACAGTTCTACTGCCTTGCATGCAGACGTAGTTTCCAACGACAGTCTGACCTTTCAGTCCATTCGTTCAAAAAGCACCAGAGGAAAAAACCTGCACGACGATATGTAAGTGGAACCACGTGTGAGGCCTGCTTGCGAACATATCCTTTGCATAGTGACCTCATCAATCATGTCAGTAGAGCAGTCAAATGTTTCCACTTCTACCAAGAACGAGGACTGGAAGTTCCATGCGAGCCAGGAGTAAACAGCAAGAAGGAAAACCAGCAACGCAAGGGTTTCCGGGAACCGTATATGCAAGCTGAAGGACCGACTTGCCCTGAGCCTGATTGTGCTCCAGTATACATTGACCAAGCATTTCGACAACTCCAACAAAGCTGGGATAGTGCCTCATGTGAGCGAGCCAGTCCATCCTATTGGTTGGAACAGCTCCGACTCGCGACGCTTGAGACCACGCTGCACCACGCAGAGATTCTCTCGTGCTTTACGGAATGGAGTGAAAAATGGTGCTTGTCACACCAAGATGTACTGATTGCTGAACTCACTGTCTTTGCTCAATTTACGAGCAAGGCATCCATCGAATGGTTCTTATCTGGCGACTTTCAGACGGAGACTGTTGCTGAGAATGCGTGTCAGTTTTTCCAACGAGCCGCCTGGTCTTTTTATGATCTGTATGGGAAGGTCTCCAGAGAAGTGGACTATACTCCCAAAGTTGTGGCTCACCTATTTTCTGGTGAAAGACGCCATGAAGATCTCCAAGACCATTTGGAAAGAGCCGGGTTCCAGGCAATCTCCGTGGACATTATTTTCGACGTCTGCTATGGCAACCTCCTGAAGCCAGAGACGCTGCAACTCTTTGCTCGTGCACTGAGATGCGGAGCGCTGATTGGTTTTGTTGCAGGACCTCCATGTGAAACGTGGAGTAAGGCCAGATTTGCAGAGATCGATGGAGGACCCCGCCCGGTTAGGTCGGTTGCGAGACCCCAAGGGCTTCAGAACCTTACCAAACGGGAAACTCAACAGGTGTCCATTGGTAATCAGCTTTTGGCTGTGGCGTTGAAGTTGTTCTGGATCGCTATCGTGAGCGGGTCGATTGCTGTCATCGAACACCCAGCCATGCCGGATGGCGAGCTGCCATCAATATGGCGATTGCCTGTAATTGAGTTCTTCTTGAAATTTACCACAGTTTTCAAACTAAGAGTCGAGCAAGGGCGATATGGAGGATTGTCTCCTAAGCCAACCGATTTGTTGTTGGCGAACCCATGCCCAGACTTCAAACGGCTTTTCATTGAAGGGCGCACGACACCCCTTCCTATGACCAGCCGTATTGGGCGAGGATCGGATGGGACTTGGCAAACTAGCATTCTTAAGCAGTACCCTAGTGGTTTCTGTTCAGTGCTTGCAGCCCTTTTCCGCCACGCCACCCCCGCCTGTGACACGGGAGAGCCAATACCAGATTGGTTTCGTGAAGCTACGACTAAACTGGTAGCACACTTTAATGTCGATGCCCCTATGGGCCCCGACTTTTGTGCTGCAGCTCTAAATGTCACAACAGAAATTTAATTTGGTGCAATAGCCACAGGCTAGACCTTTTGGCGCTAGAGAAAGAAAGAAAGGCAAGCTGTCAAGGCAAAGGCACAAAGAAACAGGAGTTTGACCCAAAAGGGCGAGGGATCGCTCGAGTGCACACCCAACTCAAAGGATGTGGCCCGGATTTTAACCCTTATCGTTTGTAACCAAACAGGGTCAAGATCCGGAAAGCATGCACTGAATCATGTGAAAACAAAAACTTCCGAGGCTTATCCCGCCTGGCCACCAGACACGAAGCGATCTTGGTCTGCCACGCAAACTGCGTCCACAGCATAGGTGTGCCTGGCACCGTGCGCCTACAAAAGGATCTACTTGATCCAACCCTTTCATTGTGAGGATGCCCAAGCCTGGTGAACATCAGGTGTGTCCCTTTGTCCACCTAGCTGTGTGAAAGTCAAGACAAGGAGAAAGGCTGAGAAAGGAAGCCACAAAAGAAAATCGCTACTAGGAGCAAGGACGCTACTAGGACGTGACTCTGTAGGTTGACCGCTGATAGAAAGGCCATAGGAACGGTGTGGTTCGTTTCAATCTTTGCTTCTAGTAAGAATGCTCCATACGTAGCGATGCCAGGAGCCCCTAGTAGCGTCCGATCGCTCCTAGTAGCGATGCCCTTTGCTCCTAGAAGGTTCCGGATGCTTCAAGTCTTCAAGCATGTTCAAGGCACCTTCCAAAAGCGGACCGTCTTGTCCTCACCGCCACTCAACGGCCGGCCCCTTGGTGTCACGGCATCTCCGTGGAAGCATTCCGAGCTTCACCACCTTTTCGTCCTCCTTTTCTATCCCTTGGGGTGTCACGGGCTCAGGCTCAAACTTGTTCAAAAGGTCCAAGGACGACACAGCACCAACATGTCCGAGAAGTGTCTCCATGCATCTGGCAGGTGTGTGTGTGTGTGTGTGGAGAATTAATGACAATACAGCTTGCCAACTGGGCAACGGTGGGGTCAGCAGTGGTCTTTGTCGTGCGCACAAACATACACCAACACACATTTGCATCCTGGTAGAGTTCGGTATTAACACGGCCAGCTGCTGTTCCGATGTGCAAGCATTCCATGTGAGCTGCAGACCTGTTACACTCGTAGTGCGCTTGGTGTGTCTAGGATGCCCAGTTTCAGTCTTTGGGCCCTCTGCACCACACTCTTGCATTTTGATTGTATCCGGTATCCAATTGATTGAGGCATCCAAACATGGAAGCATCGCAAACATCAGCACAAACGTAAAATTGACAAAATCATTGGACCGGGAGAACACCCGGACACTCGAAAATCAATAAAAACGGACAGAAGCCCTCAAAAAGACTCTAAGAGCTACAAGCGCCCATGTCTCAAACAAAGGATTCCCGGGAGCAAATTGTTCAGTCCGTGGCACTTTACGGGGTTGGTGGGCATTGGATTCAGCTGACTTAAACGGAAAACGAAAGACGTGAACTTCCGAGCGAAAAGACCGATTTAGTAAGGCCAGGAGCCCCTAGTAGCGTCCTTGCTCCTGATGCTAAAGCTGAGCACGTTCTCCTTCGATCATTCCTTCGCCTTCCTGGCTCCCCTGGCCTTCCTTCCGTCCTTCCTTCATTGAATTTCACGTGTGTCACTTTATTTGTTCTTCTCATCAGTGTGTTTTGATGCAGAAAATGTTCCCTGAGGCTCGTTTGAGTTGTACTTGGGTGAAGCTGCAATGTCGAGGAGTGAAGCGTTGTAGTATATGAAAAGTGAGTGTGTTTGTGCAAACAAAGGGCATCCAGCCTCCTGGAGGCCACGTCCCAAATCTTTAGGGACTTGTCAGCTGAGCCGGAGTAGAACTGGGCAAGGGACATGTTCTCTACTGAGGTTGCACTACAAGCACCCCGTTGCCCGTCTTCTACCTCCGAAGTCCCAGAGTACTGGGTTCTCGAACAAACTCAAAACGATCTGCCAGCCTGTTCTTCTCCAAGATCAGGCACCAAGGCAGTGGTTTCCTTTGTGTGGCCATGCCTAGGGAACAATTTGCTCCTATCCACCCCAGCCAAGAAGAAGTCTTTTGATATTTTTCAATCCAAGTCTGAGAGCAAGACAGAGTAGCCACACAGCCTCAACCAAGTTCATTCAGTATACCCGCACAATGTGTTGTGTGCGGTTCCAGCGCCATAGAACTGACAAACGTTGAATATCGTTCGATTATCCCCAACCAAACGCTAACCCTTTCAAAGCTCTGTGGCGGACTCTTTTGGATGTTCCACGTTCACCTGGGCTTGCTGTCAAAAGCCACGGGAAAACCCCGCATAAGGCTATGTACAAAGTGTCAGAGCTCTTCGAAGAAGGCATCGATGTCGTCTGGAGCGAAGACCTTGGCAGCAATGAAGGTGAATGGCAACTCCATGAAGATCCGAAGGAACGCCTGATAAGCCTAGGAACAATGTTCGCTACTAGGGGCTCCTGGCATCGCTACTAGGAGCAAAAACGCTACTAGGGGCTCCTGGCCTTACTACTAGGAACAAGAAGCTACTAATACATTGAGAGAAGCTGAAGTAACTAGCAACGCCGGTTCCAAGAGTGGCTCAAGTATGTCACAAGAGTCGCTACGACTGTTCTTGCCAAGAGACCGCTGATCGATTTCGCGCTTCAGACACCACCTGGAGATTGGAAACTGGAAATGGGAAGCTAGTTTTGACTGTAAAGAGCAGTACATTGGACCTACAAAGCATATGTTATTCAATGAACTATACCCAAACGTAGCCCGTGCACAAGAAGCAGAAGTGACCACGGGAAAAGTATATATACTATTATTCGGCTGCATCAGTTACACTTGACTTGATGTGTGACGAATCGGACACAGCTCGCTTCTTTTTCACATGAGCTTCAAATATCTGGTTCAAAAGTGCTTTGGTTAACGTGACCCTGTCACAGCAGCCCACGCTGCGCGCACCCCTGGTGCATACCTCTGCCAGGTATTCATTCCCTACCTGTACCTGGTAGACTCCTTAAAATAGTCAAGAGGATACTGAATGTCAGTCCTATGACTATGGTGGAGTAGGATGAAGATAAACACAACGCAGTAACCCAAGAGTCGACACACGTTTACTGCAGTCACAGTGACCGACAATTGCTCCGCAATGTCACTGGAAAAATGGTATCTGGACTCATGACCAGAGTATTTTGCCTGGCCGACTGCTGCAAAGGGGTGTGGCTTTTCGGCCGACAGCAGCCACTGAAGTAATGAAATCGGTGACGAAAAGATAAACTGGACACCATGGTAACCCGCAGACAGCACCAGTCCAGTAGCTCATTGCCAGAGCATTTGGCCAGGCCGACAGCTGCAATTCATCTGGCTTGTGGCAGACTGCGCCAGGATGACGAGAAATCACATCAAACAGAAACAGAGGAACCGCATCCGTGGTACTCAGCTGACAGCGACCACGCGGTGCCACAGGACGTCAAACGTGGAACTGAAAAATAGGCCAACGATTGATCATCATCGTCAGCTGGAGCTCGTAACGTCAAAATGAATCAAACTGTCAATTCCTGCAAACCGAAGCTACACCGAGGCCCCTCCGTGGATGACATCACACAGGCCAGCAAATCACTTGGATGCACCGCAACCATGAGAACTCAGGCCGACAGCTGCCACGAGCACCTGTAACCACTCGTACTGAGCACAGGGTGTGGTGGGTGGGACAAAAAGAATCTTGCGAATCAGCGACTCTGATTCACACGGAGCGACACTCCTTGGCTTGAGCCTCAAGCTGAAAGGAGTGAGTGAACTGAATGACATCAAATAATTCCTCATCACCGACCCTGCCTACCTTGAATGAATGAATATATTCGGCTGCATCAGTTACACTTGACTTGATGTGTGACGAATCGGACACAGCTCGCTTCTTTTTCACATGAGCTTCAAATATCTGGTTCAAAAGTGCTTTGGTTAACGTGACCCTGTCACAGCAGCCCACGCTGCGCGCACCCCTGGTGCATACCTCTGCCAGGTATTCATTCCCAATGCATTCTACATTCCCAAAACACTCAGAAGAACTGGAAGACACGATTTATAATGACGTATGGTAGGCGGAGTAGGAGGTGAGGTACTCGGAATCCATGAGCCTGATACCATTTATCGTGAATCCCTTGCCTGCTAATACCATCAGACCAATTGTCTGCGGACTGGACCCATTCGAAATAGCTGGGTCACCATGCCCGGCTCAAGCGGGGCGGCCTGGGACTGCCCCTGTCCCAGCCGAGTGCTCCGGACGGGAGCCGGCTTGGAAGCTTCACTCAAATCCAGTGGTACACGAAGGTTTCGAATCATCCAGCCCAGGGATGTAAACACACGTGTAGGCCCATGGTGCTCCCTGATGAAGGTGGCCAATGCATGGGGGTCAGGAAACTTCAACCCCTCATGGTCCATATAGCGCACCAAGTCCTTCCAGGTATGGACCACGCGCTTGATGGTAGCTGCCTCGGTGCGGGCACATAGCTTCTCCAAGCGTGAGGCCCAATTGGCCATGTATTCGTCTCGTCGATCGGGTGGAGGCATCAACGTTACCATAATGCCCAGCAGATCACGAATAAACAGAGCGGCGACTCCGCCCTTAGGGCCAGGAAAGGAAGACGGCTTTGGACGGGCCACCGAAGACGAAGGCAGTGAAGGAGCCGGAGCACTGGATGGTTGTGGCGGGCGAGACTGGCGAACTGTCTCTCTCGCAAAAAGGTGCCGAACCAGGGCTGCCATCCCCGGCTCGCTCTCACGGCGAGCGAGATCCCACCCATCAGCCACTGCGCGACCGGCTTCACGAAGTGCTTCCTCGTAGGAGGTAAACCAAAAAGCCAAGTCGCTTGCACTCTGAATCCCCATCCTGGCACACCAGGTATTCAGTTTCTCCTGCTCAACCGCGCGTCGAGCATTTGCGTCAGCCATGGCTCGCACACAAAAAGAATCTTGCGAATCAGCGACTCTGATTCACACGGAGCGACACTCCTTTTTGGCTTGAGCCTCAAGCTGAAAGGAGTGAGTGAACTGAATGACATCAAATAATTCCTCATCACCGACCCTGCCTACCTTGAATGAATGAATAGATTCTGATATACTAGATATACTTGATATGCTACTATTCTGTTCTTCCAAGATCAAGGTCACTCACCCTTATTTTTGGCAGCACAAGTGGGCCCTCAGTCTACAGACTGTACACTGTACAGGACGCACATTGAGTGCTGAGGCTAGGGTGCTTAGTTAAGCCCAACACCTAAGCCCAAGGCTCCAGCCCTAAAAGTTGCCGACTAAAGTGGTCTAGACTTTCCAGCTGACTGTGGTCCAAGTCTCCCGCTCGAAGGCATTTAGGCAGGACTCTGGTGCAACTGAAACCGTCACGATCATCGTAGTTGATGTTCCACTCTGCTTCTTTAGCGGGAAACATGCGAATGTACTGTGTCAAACGCATCTTGTCGCTCTTGTTGTGAGTAGAGCCATGCAACTGTGCAACAGACCAGATCACCATCTCACCTTGCTGCAGGGGTACAGGTTGCATGTACCGAAGAATTGGATCGTCTTCAGCTGCTCTGAAGGATTTCATGGACTTCGAGACTTTCTCCAGTTTCCGTTCAAGACTCCATTGTTTCAGGAAGTGGGCACAGCCTGGAAGAGTGAGATGACAGCCGGTCTCCAGGTCGTGATCACGCAATGCCACCACACCTTGGTAGCCTGGATTGCCCATCTCAAGGTCTCTAAGGCATTGCCAGGGATTCACATCCCAATGCGGTTTCAGACCTACTCGCCATCTTGGCCTGTCGTTGGCTCCACGTGCCACTCCCCACTTGTCGACAGAAACATGCAAACGCGACTCTTCGAATATGTTTTGAAACGCTTTGTAGATTTCCCTGGAACACCGGTTGGCAAAGGCTTGCGGGTGTAGGGCAATTGAGTCGATCAGAAATTTTGAGGAAGATGGCCAGTTCTTGTCAGCCCATGTAGAGGGATCATCTACCTCAATCAAGGGGCCTTCAATGCCCTTCTTGTTGCGCAGAGAATTGATTTCCTCAAACATTGCGATGACACTCTTCTCACATTCTTCTCTTGTGAGAACTTTCACGATGCAGAATCCATATTTGTGTAAAGCTTCTCGGATACCGAGCGAATCTGATGGTTCGAAGCTGACCAAAAAGCCATTGTCCAAAGCGGGGTAGCGAGGGAACAAGCGTTGCCAGTCCTCCTCGGAACGCAGCTTCCTCGGTGGGTCTTTCACCCTGAGCAAGTCCAAGTGAGCATAGCGGACAAAGGCCTGAAGTTCTTGACTTCGATCGCCCAGGGGAAATGACTCCTTGATTTTCACATGACATAGATGCAGCACCACGTCAGGCATCATCTCACCTGGATGTTCTTCCATCCATTCGCGTAAAATTCCTTGTGCCATTTGCTGGGCTTCCTTCCACATGTCTTTTCGCTGCGCCTTGGCCGACGGGCATAGCTTGCACGGCTCATCCTCACATGAAGCACTGCAACCACTCAGCCTTGCAAGGACCAGGTGCCGCAGACGCCGCAAGGCTGCAAAGCAAGTGGTCCCGAGACTTTCCATTGCTCTGGAAGACTGGCACCAAAGTCAGTTGAACCCTTGTAAATCTTCAGTGCGCGTGAGTGAGAGAAGTTTTCGACAACACAGAGAGTCCAAAAGAGCAGAACCTACACAGATCGACAATGAGTGGTTCCTGTCGGGTCAACCAGCACCAGCCGCGCCTGTTGTTCTTCAGCGTCATCTGCCGAAAGGTCAAAGAACTCCGCAGTTTTTTCCTGTTTCTCTATGCTTACGTGGAGAGACTCACAGCATCGAGCTTGTCAAACTGTGTGCAAGTAAGTGACTCCAGCTTGCTTTGACCTTGGAGGAAGGAAGCCAAGAAAGTTTCTAGTTCAAAGTCAATCAAATTCATTTCAAGTGTTGGGAAGTCTTTGGCTTCCAAGAGACTGCTCAGCTGCTAAAATCATTGCGGCTGAAGCTGAACTGTCACCCTCATCCTGCCCAAAATGCAAAAGGCAAGAACGATGTTGAGACTCTCCGGCAAAAACCATTCGCGGCAAGTGTTGCTCCTGGCCAGTGTTGAGAAGCTCCACAAAAACATCTACGGTGCAACCTTGCAGCAACGCCAGTGCAACCGTTATATAAATATACATCACACTAATGCCCCTGACGACGAACAAACGAAAGGGAAAGAAGCCAAAACGTTGCAGTACAACTGCCATATCAGTTCAATTCTTGATCTGACTGTGCTTCAAAACACCCTGAAACTCATGAGTACATTTCAGACTTCAGACTCACAAAGGGATGCTCTCTAGAAGGTCTAGCTGAGCCATCAGCCATATTCCATCCAAGACTATGCAAACCGGAGACCCAAAAGACTCTGTCAAACCAGAATGAGCAACCTACGACGCTACAAGTGGCAGGAATCTGAGGTGCAACTGGAAAAGACTAAGGTGCAAAAGAATTTATATGAACTATATAATTGATTGATTGATCAATAGGGTTTGCTCTAGATTGACATTACTCTTCTGGACTTCCAACAATCAAAAAAATGTTTGTATTTAGATGTTCAGAATCCATCCCGAATACAGAATGGAGAATCTACTTGCAGTGCCTATTTGCACTTCAATGTCAACATCGAGTTCCTCAGCGATTTCTCCAAGTGGCTCTGTTCACAAGCCGAATCGATTTCCGAGGAAGGAAAGCGCGTGAAGCCACCAGCAAGTGCAATGAGCGCGGTGTGGAAGCAAACCTCTTTTTTGGGTCAAAGGCGGCTACAAGTGGAGCAAACTGTACAAACAAGAAATGGATTGAGTATTGGTTACTAGTGACATACAACTGGTTGTACAAAATGATTCACTATATGGGAATGGCACACACACACAAAAAAAAAAGGGGAAGCAGGCATGCACAATGCACAAGTTGCATACTTCAGACATTAGCGAGGTTCCGTGTCCATCTTTAACCTCTTTCAACTCAAAACTTTTGGAAAAACAACAAAAATGCCTGCAGTTCCAGCTCCCAATCGCCCACCGCACCATCGTCTTCCTCCCAAGCGGAGCCAACAATGCCCCGAATCAGGACATGTCGAAAACGTGTGTAGTCACAACCAGGATCTCAGGATTTTGACCCTCATTCTTGTGCAGAGATTTGTCATCGCCAGTTGCACTCAGGAAGCTGTAAAAAAGACCAATCAGAAAAAATCTATTGAAGAAAAAAGTTCCCTGAAAATTGAGCGGTACTGTAAAGTTCGGTGCGATGCTTTCCTGGTTGCTTTCGTCCCCTTGCTGCCCTCAATAAACTGGTACTTGGCAAAACTCCCGTCATCAGCAACACGTGTGGCCCATGCGCCTGTGCTCTGCGAGAGACCAAACGGAGGGACAAGTCGCCCTCTGCAGGACTGGTGATTCGAAAGGCTGAGGTGTGGCAAACATCGTCATCCTCACCTCGACGGCAGGGACCGCAGAACAAACATCACAAATCCTTGACGATGCCTTCAACCTCGTAGCGATGGGCTCCAAACCGCAGAACACCTATGCCATTATGCTCTCTCTCTCTCTCTCTCCGTCCTTTACTCAGTGCCCCGCTCACATTGGTCCTGAAGATGAGCTGCTCTTGCTTCCACACTTCCAAGGCACGATCGCGCAAATGCGACCCCGCGTGGACCAACACCTAGGTCACATGAAATCGTAAACCTGTTCAGTACACGATGGTTTCGCCAAGCGCCCCATGTGGGAAAGTGCTGGTGCGTCATGTCAAGCCAAGCATCCACCCGAGCCAAACGGGCAGGATGTGACCACAAATCTAGCTTTCCACGCTGCAGCAGCTCGAAATAACCTCGCTATGCCCAACTGGGTGGTAGTTTGAAGCATTTTTTTAAGTGGTTCTTGCTCAAAACGGTCCCTACCTGCATGGTGATTAAGTCTGCCTAGACTACACTACTCCCTCCACTCTTTCCTTGTGCACAGAAATCCTCCAAGTTGCTAAGATATCTCAATTGTGACGGCCACAAACTTCTAGAAATTCCCATCCGCCTGCAGTCTCAGTCATCAATAACGAATGCAGCACTGAAGGGGAAGCAAGCTAGCTTAATGTCCATTAAACCACAGCTGAGTTGTAATTAGACATCCGAGCCAAATTGAACTTCTGTTGAAGATGTTTAAGGCTAATGCGTATTTCGACTTCTTCCAGTAATTGTGGTGACCTTGCTAGTCTACGTTCACACCAGTGCTCCTTGGAGCTTTCCCGCCTGGTAACCTCCACCATTGCTTCTTTCGGATGGTCTGCCTTCCCAACCCAGCTCAAGTAGCATGCAAAGAAGAGGACCACCGGAAATGAACCTGGCACAACCATCGGCAAGTCTTCCTTCCAGGATAACGTAAACTCTCCAAAGCTACAAACAGTGACATGCCTGGCCCATAATTCGCTGCTGTGCCAGATCCATCCTTGGCAAAAATGCTTGACAAGCCAGCCAACTCCATGTTGGGAGGAACCTTGCAAAGTACTTTGAATAGGAACCTTTGCAAAGTACAGTACTGAGAAACATCTGCTCCATGCACCACGACCACATTGCGCGCCGCACGCGACAGCCACTGCTGCACCGAAACGACGAGCCGCAGCCTCGAGTTGAGGAATCGAAAGCAAAGTCGGCCCAAACGCTGAAAGCCTTGCGTTTTAACTGAACACAAGACACAAGAAAGCTGAGTCTGAGATTGTCACAAGACCTCTAATGGCAGCACACAGCCAGACATCATGATGTCCATGCACGGACCTGAAGCCACATGAAGCCACGAGGAATCCAAATTGTAGGATTCAATTGATTCAATCCAATTTCTCCGGGAGCATTCGCCACAAATCTTTCAGCCTTGTAATTCGTAGGTGTCGTAGCTGGTTCCAGACAGGTTGATCACCAGGTAGCTGCCCGAATGGTCGCGGTTCAAACGTGCCGCCAGCCTTGGCATCACTGTCGTGGAAGATTCGACTTTTAGGTATTGATCTTTGCAATTCTGAAGAGAGCCAGTGGTCTTAGCAAATTGGCCTGCATACGTTGCTCTTAAAGAGCACAGCAACAATCTCATGGCATCATTTCTTAGTGTTTCACACATGTCTGAGCCGAGCCTGTCTGAGCACAAAAACGTGGCAACAGTTGTCAAAAGTTATATATATATATATTGGTTTGTTGCTCAGTTTGAAACATGTAAATCTGTTATTGAAACGTTGAAGGCAAATCTTGACACCAAAATGCTCGGAGCCCCACCAGTGTTGTCGAGGTCGGCTTGGGAAATCTGTCGCTATGAGGTTGGGCCGGACCAAAGACAGTCTGCAGGAGTAGTCTTCAAATGTAAATTGCCACTCCTTGCACGTGCAAGATTTGTTCTGGAATTGTGTTGGATCCACAGGTAGCAGCTGCTCAACAAACCATAGGAAAGGTAAACAATGGTAAACATCTCTTGTGCACAAGCAATATTATCGAAAAGGTCAGGCCTTTTGGGACAGCAATGAAGTATAGAGACTTTAGAGGTTCTAACGACTCTGCCAAGAGCTCCTTCTGAATGGCCTCAGCTGCTTCTTTCGCAGCCACCTTGACAGCGGAGACGGCATCTCGAATGCTGCTCGGCATTCGGCAACCTGAAATCCTTCGTCAAACGCTGTGAGCAAGCTTGTCTATACTTGTCCAGTCCTCCGTTTGGAGCTGCCCAAAACAGTCTGCATTTAATTGTGTCTCTGAAATGGAGGTGTTTATCAACGTGTGGCTTGCGGAGGTGGGTCCCTAGTAAACGTTTCAAGCAATTTTTGTGCCGCATTCCCTGACATGCTGTGAACATTTGCACTGGGCTTGAGCCGGAAGCCACAGTGACACCATGTGACACCAAACACAAAGGACCAAGAAGGACGAAGGGGCACCTCCACACCTCGCTACTAGCAACAAGGGCATCGCAACTAGTAGCAAGAAGCTACTACTACCTCCTGGCATTACTAGTAGGAACAAGAAGCTAGTGGGTTGGAGGCCATCGCTATTAGGTTGGAGACCATTACTAATAACAAGAAGAAGGGGCACCTCCACACCGTCTTTAACCCTTCCTTCTTGAATGTTCCGAGGCATGGTCTGACTGCACTGAGCGCTGCTTTCATTGCTAGGGACCAAACTGGTATTCGCAGAGCGTGGATCCCAGAGGCGGACCTTGCAAATTGCTGCCTTGTTCTACTTCTTGGATTAAAGGTCTAGGGATCCTACCACACGATCCACACCAGCAGAGACCAGCAAGCCACGCTGCTCCAGCAAACAAACACTCAGGACCTGCAAATTGGCTATGGAGTTGGCACCTTTTGGTTTCTGACTCAACTTGCTTGACAAAGCGTGCAATGCCACCAGCTCAAGGGGCCCAAGGGCCTTTTCAAAGTGTCCTCCACATTCAAAGCGGTTACGGCCGCCGGGAAAAATGTCCTGGCAGAAATGGCTTGAGTGCCTGACCTGAGAATGACTATCTGCTGCATGCCAATTGAAAGCGGTAAAGCACAAAGGCCTTCTTCCCAGTCTCTATATCCCATCTGATGACTGCGCAGTCTTTGCCGCCAGTGTACATGACACCTGTGTGAGCAAAAATGACGACTTGTCGTCTTGCTCTCAAAACTGTCCATAGTTCGGAACCCCTTAGCTAGCCTAGCACCACCATTTGCCTTCACGCTTCCAGGTTTCACGCCACCCACTCTTGCCAACCCGTTACCCATTCCGTCGTGACACCTTTGTCCAAAGAAATTGGACCAGCTGAACCTCTGCACCTTTCAACCACTGCACTTTTCCAGTTCAAATTTGTTTACTGAGTGGGAGGGCGAAGGTAAGAGGGTTTGAAAAGTTGCATCGAATAGTGAGTCTGAATAAGACGTGTGACTCTGCCGGATAGGCAAAATGAAAGGGATCTGTACCTTCAACTTAGACGCAAGATTTCAGAGCTTGGGGTTAGTCAACTAGACTACAGAAGACATCCGGGAATTGGTGAATCATTGGTTGATTTACTGAGAGCAATTCCACACACAGACCTACACAAACTTCCAGTTCAGTACTCAATGGGCTGACTCTCAAAGGCACTGCCCAACACAAGCCACAAGCGGAATTTCCTGCCTTCATCGGACGTCAAACAAACACAAGTTGCTGCCATCTTATGCCTCGCAGGAACTCCTTTAGCAATTTTTAGCCATTTGTGACCTCCGTGTTCTCCAAAATGTCACGTGCCAAACCGGCCAGTTGGACCCTTTGAGGAACCGTGGCTCCCCCAGAGTCAACTCTGACACCTCCGCAGTTCACTCCAAGAACGTAATAGGAAAGACTGGAACAGTATTGGTTTGAAAGCAAGCGCGTTTTGGCCCCCTACTCAATCAAGTGGCGACTAGTTAGCTTCTAGCAGCTGGAGGCAGGATGGCTCACGCTTCTTCAAGGAAGCTCCCCCGCCTGAGGACAGGTGGAGCTTCCTTGAAGAAGCGCTCGCACTAATGCGAAAGACTGGTGTTCTCTGCGTTCGATGCATGCTGTTTCTGCAAGACTGGGGCAATCAGCAGAAGATCAGTCATGAGACTTCGGGGGATTCCTCTGCTCACCTGAAATTTGGTCTTCCGCAACTTGGTGAGCTGGTCCTGTCAGTTCTTGCAGCTGTTGTCTTGTACTGGATATATATATATATATTGTAAGGGCTCCGCCCGGGTGCCGCCGACCCCTTTTCATCTCGAGGGTTTGGCGGTTGAACCTTGACAACTTCCTGGGATTCAACAGCGAGACTTGGATGGGCTTCACACCAATGCTGGCATTCAAGCCACAGCGATGTAGAATGCAGGTGGCTAGGAGCTCTGGTAGACTTTGTTTTATAGTATATAAGGATTCTTCAAGGGTCGAGCGCCAAAGAGTTTGATCGTGCTTGGACACGGCATTTGGCGCGACATCTGGTGTGAACCGGAGAGGCCGCAACAGGCCTGCCTGCTGCCGAGGAGCGTTTGAAGGCGGTCCAAAATGCCTAACGTTGCCT